AACACCTACACAGCCGACATCCCAAAATACCCAGACACCAAAATTGCCCTGTTTGCAGACGACACCTGTCTCTACTTTACAGCCAAAAACCCAAAATAGATTCCTCTCAAACTCCAAAGACACTTAGACAAACTCACAGACTGGACAGACACTTGGAAAATTAAAATCAACGCGGAAAAAACCCAAACACTTATGGTAACCACAAAACCCACAGACAAAGTTAAACACATCACTCTACCTACATAACGAAAACATCGCCTGGTCCAAATCAGCAAAATACTTAGGCATCTTACTCGTCAAAAAACTAACATTCACCGAACACATCAAAGGCAAAATCACTAAAGCAAGAGCAGCACGCACAACCCTCCACCCCCTTCTAAACCGAAACAGCAAACTTACCATCAAAAACAAACTTCTCCTATACAAACAAATTATTCGACCACAGCTCCTTTACGGCGCCTCAGCTTTCATCACGACCTGCAAAACCAACATAAATAAAATACAAACTGTACAAAACAAAATCCTTCGTAACATCTGCAGAGCTCCCTGGTACATACGTAACAAGAACATATACAAAGACTTGAAAATGGACACCATACAGGAATTCCTCACCAAAAAGCACTCCAAATTCAAAGCCAAAGTCCTCAATCATTCAAACCCACTAATCCAAGACACATTTAAAATCACCCCACCTCAAAATAACCAAGGCCAAAAATCCATCATGACCCCCCTTAACTGGATTTTACCCCCACACCACCCTTATACCTCGAAACCCTTTCTCCCCTCCCCCCCTATCATTTCTTCCCCTCAGCAAACCTAGCCAGAGGTACATAGGGCAAGCAATGCTTGGGCGGCATTCTCAAAATTACCTAGTCAATTTCGACAAATTCAAACTCAAATAAGCCTTTAAAGGCACGCACAAAAGAGCAAAAGTTCCGACGAACTAGCTCTAGCGGAATAGTCAGCAACACAGAGAAAAGAGACTCCTAGGCCGAAACCCGACCTGACCAAATGGTCTGCCCTTAAAACCGAAATTTTAACCCACCTGCATCGATTTTCATCGCATTCAGTATTTATTTGCACCTGCATTCAGCTGCATCGACTTTTTCTGACACCTGTACCAAACTTCTGCCTGCATTTATTTTTATCCGTATTTATTTTTTCCTGCATTTATTTCCACCCGCATTCATCTCCAATTTTCATATCGAGCTTCCATCAGCTCTGAATCACTTGCTTCGCCGAGTTTCACCTGTGTTGATTGTCTATTGCATTCCGTTGATTAACTATGGAGAAGAAAACCGAGAAGCAAAGCAACCAGGACGTTCAACCGACTCTCAGGGCCAACTGCACCGTCTTCATCATAAGCGTCACTTAAATACTTATCCGACACTAAATCTGCTGCACCGTCCAACTTTATCATCCGCTTAACTAAGTTCCACCTAGTTCAGGGATTTTCGATAATTTTAGGGGATTTCTTACCTGCTTAATTTGAAAGCTTCTGACCGAAACGTCTGCGAGAAAACGATCGTTGGACTTTCGACTACTCGTCTTTATCTATCCGTTGGACTTTACTTTTGAAGACGATTGAAAGCGTGTAAATCTGTGTAGTGTGTTTTCAGTGCGAAAAAATTAAATTAAATAGAATACCCAATGAAATCGGAAAATACTAAATTACCATAAAGAATACGCACTCCCAATTATACCAATTAGGAGAAATATCGGATATTAGAAATATGCCGAGACTATAAAGGGATAATCGAAAACAAGAAAACTGACTCGTGCACGTGGAGAGAAAAAAATAATGCCTGGAGTAAGATCGCTGCCGATTTCAACGCCTCGTCACCAAGTAAAGTCTTCCGCAGTAAATAATCTTTGCGGAATTCCTACGAAAATAAAAAAAAAGAAGTCCCGAATGGCTGTGTCCCAAGGAAAAAAAAATCGATAATACAGACCGGCGGTGGTGCAGCATTTACACCTTCCCAGGACCCTTGTAATTAAATTATTAGAGAAGTCAGAAATGAAAGCGGCAGACCGTAAAAGAGAGCGAGAAGAAGCAGAGCATGCTCTAAAAGTAAAATGCTTACAATTAGACATTGCTCTTAAGGAAGCCGAATAAAAAAAATAAATCCGAATAAAAGAAAAAAATAGAATTGGTGTTTTTATATAAATATATTAATTGTACCATTAGAGTCTCTTTGGTTAGTCGAAACTTTTTAAAAAATGTGTAATCATCCAAATCATGAAAAAGATTTGCACGATTGTTAATCCGCCTTGGCACGCCAAATTCAATCATCTCCAATTCATCTATATCGTCCTCATCGTCCCATATTAAAGAATTCATAAAGAACGCCATGATTTACCCTATCAGATATCCGCCGAACAAGAATGAACCAAAACGTGATTTCAACAGTGTGTTTTTGGTTATGTATATATTTGTAACCCGTCAACCCACCCGCGACGCTTGCGTATAGGTCCCACTTATTTCTAAGCCGAAGCGCGAGTACGGCTAAGTGCCACTTACTTACTTCACTGGTTTAAGTGGCGCTTAAACTGCGGTACTGCAACCGGATCCCTAACCATAGAAACCGCAAATCAGCCAATCACCTCCAATCTTGAGTAGTAGTGGCGCTTTTGATAAAACTGTGATGATGTCCGTGTGAGTTGGGTGTATGCACTCAAAAAGGAGGAGCTAATCACCGAGCTCCGCAAGTTTAATTTGGACATTACTGGCACTGTCGACACTCTGAAGAGGCGGCTAACAAATTTCATACTCCTAGGAAAGGCTACCCCAGCGCCGACGACGACCTCAGATGTTGCGCTTCCAGCACCTGGACCACCAACTACTGCAACTGCATTTGCCACGTTTGCTGTTTCACTGCCGAGAGTTACCACAGCTTTGCCCATCATCGCTATTCACTCTCGATACCTTCACCCATGGCCTCAGGATCCGGATACTCGCCGGCATCGTCTCCGTTGAAGGTATATAAATGGAACGTGCACTTTGATGGAAAGACGGATTCAGTTACATTTATCGAAAGGTTGCAAGAGATATTCACAGCTCAGGGCATCCAAATAAACCGGTTGTTGCCGCACATGCCAGAGATCCTGCAGGGTGACGCCTCCCTTTGGTACCGTAATAACCACACTCATTGGCACACCTGGACGGACTTTATCCAAGATTTCCGAAGCTTCATCTTTCCCGTCAACTATGCTGCCGACCTGGAGATGGAAATTAGCCGACGACTGCAGAGGCCAAATGAACCGGCCTCTCGTTATATCACCGAGCTCCAGACACTCATCCGAAGACATGGTAACATGAACCAAGAGCAAGAACTGCAGTGGCTATACCGAAATCTGATGCCAGAGTATCGCCAGCATGTCCGCAAGAGCGACATTACCGACGTCATATCTTTCTCCCGGACAATACGCGAAGTCGAATTGTTATTGTGCGAACTACCAGCCAGCTCGACCAGATAGTCACAAAATTCGGGTGCCTGCACACCGTCCTGGCCGATAATGGCACTCAATACACCGGATGACCGTTTAAAGAGCTTCTACAGGATATGGAAATCAGCTAGCATCTGACCCCAGTCTACACTCCGCAGACGAATCCAGTAGAACGCACTAACAAAACGATTAAAGTTATGATTGCCCAATTTGGAGACGAAAATCACCGAAAATGGGATACAAACTTGTCCAAACATGTATTTGCCATCAACAGTTCCAGGCACGACTCCACCGGATTTTCACCCGCGTTCCTGAATTTTGGAAGAGCTGGACCCTCCAGCGGCCCTTGTACCGAGATCACGACACTAACATTTCCGAAGATGGCCCGCTGCATATCAACGAAAGTAAAAAAAAAACGATGATGACTGGCTCAGGTGCTAATGAAATGTATAAGCCAAAACTACACTGGTATAAAATACTTTGGGTTTTCTAATTGCAATTCCCTTAGAGTTTCTGATGCCCCTAGTTTGCTTCTACGCATAATCCACTGTCTCATATATACTCGATTTTTTTAATTTCTGCCTCAATTTCAAAATAATTACTTATACTAACACATGCTACTGCAAACTGCAGACTGTGAACAGCTAGCGGCGTGACATCGAATGTCGAAAGCTGTCACGGAATTAGAATGTCACCGTCTGAACGAGACTTTAATCCAATGGCAAGTTTCATTGAACACGTTTGAATTTCGCCGCTTAAGGTGATTGTTTCGTTCAAGACCAGTTTAAATAAAGCAGTTTCAGCGTAAAAAAATCCTGGATGATCCATAAATTAATCCAAAGAACAGTCACAAAGTTTGAGAAAAATCACCATTTTAGTCAAAATTTCAGCGGCGTAGGACACCATTCCATGAACTGCGCATGCACCACCCTCGCAGCCCCTGTCATCAATCAAATCGCATCAGCTGTTCAGCTGACGTATTCTGGATTATGTTCTGGATCTCGTAGACTGTTTTTGTTTTTATCATGGAAGTTCTTATGTTTAACTGCAGAGTTTGTAAATCCATCTTAATCGGCTATCTACGCACTATCTAACCTCAATCAATTGGCAATGTTACAAAACATGATCAAACTTTTGCGAAAAATACAATTATTATTCATCTTAGCGACAATTTTGCATGTGGAGTTATGAATTGTTGATACCTAAAACACGATTTAGCAGCAAATAGCACAGGAGAATCTCAATTTCGTGCATAAATAGGTGGTTTTGGAAAAGCAAATTTCAAAACTTTGAAAGTGTTTTTTTGTTTAATTTATGGACCATCCAGGAATGTTTAATTTAAAGTGTCCTTCAAGGTAAAAAAGAAAAATCGGAGAAACACAAACGACACAATCAACCGTTTAAAATAAACCATCCGTAAGAATCACGACAGCAATATCTGCTTACCTTCAAGTTTGTGATATCACCATTAAATATGGAAATTTTGTCTGATAAACTTTCATTATTGGTGTTATCGATAATATTACCAGCTAGTGGAGCTGCAGGATGTGGCAAGTCCTTGTCTTGAGCATACTGTTTCCAGGTTTTAAGTCCTTGAAGAGGAATCCAGTCATCTCTATTTCTAGTCTGATATGTTGTGAGGTACTTAGACTTTTCGGATTTCCAATTCAACTCAGTTGACATCTTGCTTACTTTGGAAGAAAACAGAATTGAATATTTCTGACGAAAACACCGGGTTAAAATATTGCCAGCTAAAGTTCTAACCATAGAATAGTTTGATAATCTGTTTACAGAAGTGTTACAGAACACGACTTATAACATAGCGACTCTTCGTAATGTCAATCGTTTGTCGGCAACATCGCGCCTCTGGTAGCTACGAAGTAAATAATTTAGCTCCTGCGTTGTGAACCGCATAGATAAAGACTGATGAACCCTTTGCATATAAAACTAACTGATTTAGTTAGTAAAATACTAACTTATTTAGTTAGTTTCATATTCAAAGGATGAACCCACTACACTTGATGCTTTTTATTTGCATCGCAAGAGGTCGCTGATTTTGAAATTTTATAAATTTAACGGTCATTTTCTCACAATATTCCACAAAAAAACAGACCACGTGGTAACTATACATAAGTTAATCCGAGTTAAATGAAAACACGGGATACGTGCAGGCGGAACGTGTCCTGAACACTCACATAGCGTTTTCGCATGACCCCAGTTTGATCAGATTTGAAGGCCCATTAACTAGCAAAATATTTTTTTTCGGAATTTCTTTTTATTGTAGTGTATTTATAAGCAACAAAGCCGTATTTCTGTGACCGAACAAACCTAATATAATTTATAAGATAATTAAGAAAATAAATAAATGGATACTTTTAATAAGGTAATATTTATCTTTTTATGCAGTGGCAGAATTTTTTAAATACATTTCGGAAGCAACGGGAACCTGGTCCAAGCCCATTTGTTTGCAGTTGTCAGTTTCGAGATAGCATTCCAGATAAATATGCATAAATCAATTTAGCTATTTTTTGTTTATGTATCTCGCACTTTTTGCCCGAAAATATAATTCAACAGTTGAAAACCACTAAATATTCTTGATGCTCTAAAGATAACCTAAAAATGACAAAGTTAAATCGATTTATTTCAGAGCACCTCAGTTAAAGGTTTTACATAAACTATTTGAGATGTTGCAATCCACATACCACACCAATAAATTGATCTTTACACATATATCGAACACGTTAAAGGCACACAAAGCCGGAAAATCCACAAATACCGATGAAAAAGGTACAATGTTTTGATAAAAAAAAACCTGACGAACAGCAAAATATATCTAATGTCATGACGACATCACAGATAGCGCGTATTCGCCAGTTCAACCACCGATGATGGCGCTGCGAAACGTCACATGGTCGTCATTGTCGAGTGACAATTGAGACTTTTTTAATGGAGTTGGTGACATGTATAATATAAAACAATACTTACACACTTCGATCTGTTTCTATTTCTTTAAAATCTTACAAATGTTGATTAGGGCAAAGCAAAACAAATTACAATCAGACGTAAACCCCAATGTGAAGAAGTGTCAAATTATTACTTACTTTGTAGTTACGTTTTCAGCCACCAGGAGGCATCTGCACTTTAGATCCCGCGAACTCAGTTCGTCTCCGTCTGTCAGTTATAATGTCAAATGTCATTGTATTATTAATAAATGTTTTGAGTCTAACAGTTATTCATTTTAAACTGGAATTAGAAAGTTTCAAACATCTTAATATCTTCTTTTATGTGGTTAAAACGATTGTGTTTCAGTGGTTTTCCGGTGTTTGAAGGTAAGTGTGCTTTTTTAAGATAATATGTTTTGATGGTGTTGCATACTCTATCAGATCTTTATGGATCAACCCTAATCATGTTCGCTTTCCGTGTGTTTTGTTAAGTTCCTAAGTTTCTCTTGAGGTAAATATAGAGCCCTAGTTTCATTTATGAAATACATCATACACATAATGATGTATCTGTAACATGCAGGCATCCCAATAACAATAAAATCAAAGCTGAGCAATAGACCGACATTCACCGACAGTCTAATTGTGAATTGGTTCAACATTCAAAACTAAAAGAATAAAACTGTAATGCTTATGCAGTATATTTTTTTCCACAAGTTACTTACTTTTTTACACAAGCTAAGTTCTTACAGTTACCTGTTGATACATCGAAGTAGCATTGCTCAGTTCAATAGCCTTCGTTAGCAAATTGTGTATATCTATTATATAGTAAGTACATACTTAATACATATATTGCCATCTTGTCTTCAATAGAAGAAACCATTTATTAGTCCATTGAATAAAATACTGACAATATTAATTGAGGAATAACTACAATTTTAATAGTAAACAGTGCTTTGTTTTGGTGATTGCTTACAATCTGGATAATTACAAATCCTTACAATCTGGATAACTTTGACGATAATCATTCACAACTCGTAAAAGACACTGCTTTTGATTTTCATCCTTGTTATAATATTTTTATACTCTTTATTTTAGTTTTTTTTGTTATTAACTATCTACAATCGGCCTGCTTTTACTGTTGCTTGGTTTTGTTCACATGTAACAAGGTGTATTACAATAAACGACCTCTGGGCTTGTCTTCAATTTGATGCGTATGGCAGAGCGTGATTCTGATTATTCTGGCTGGAATCTATTGCAGATGTCGGATGGTCCTTGGGCCTCTTTTTCGGTATTTTTTGGAGTCTGTTGACTGTCAGTGGATTTGGGTTAGTCAGTGGATTATGGTTAGGATATTTGCAACAACATGCATATATCCCCATGCAGAGTGTCGTTTCTCACGCATCATGGTGTCATGTATCGTAAGGTTTTTGACTGGAATTTTTGCAACTTGGTTAGTCACTCTTCCATTTTGTTGATTGGTGTTTGCAGTTTTTGTGATGCGTTAATTGGGTTGTGGTCTGATGTTCGTATATCTGTATCATCAGCGAATGTTACTGTTGTGACATTTTCATTCTGTGGTAGGTCAACTGTGTATACAGGATGGAGAAGTGGTCCAAGAACTGTTCCGGATTCTATTTTGAAATGTGACGAAAGTTCATTATTGATGTTTACCTGCGCCGTCCCGTTATTTAGATATGTTTTGATCAGCAGCTAGAATTCAAGGGGTTGTGTTTTGATTTTGTATAGTAGCCCAGTGTGCCAAACTTTATCGAATGCTTGGCGAACGTCAATGAAGGCTGCAGGGCAGTACGTGTTACTCTCTAAACTTTTGTCTATTTCTTTGACAAAACTATGAGTTTGTTCTATTGTCGAGTGGTTGTTTCGAAATCCAAATTGGTGGTTTGGGATCAGTTATATCTTCTTCCTTTTCTTTGTGTCTTGTTAGTAGTAGCTTTTCTTTTTTAGATAATATCAGGACGAGTTATTTAACTTTGGATAATATCAGGACGAGGCTAATGGTAGGTGCGAATCCGGTTGTTCACTTGGTTTTCCAGGTTTTATGATTATTTTTATTTGTGAGTCTTTCAATTGCYCTGSAGCATTGCCCTGGAAAACAGTTGGTTCTGAGAATTGCGTTAAATATTGAGTTGATGTAAGTTAGAGTTTTTGCCCCTAACTTTTTCAGTATTTCCGCTGTGATCAAATCGTGTCCTGGTGCCTTTTTGTTTTTCAGAGACATAATTAACCTTTGAACCTCCATCAAATCGTGTCCTGGTAGTGGTACAGATAGAAACGATGTTATTTGGTTTTCCCATATTTTATCTGCTGTTGATGGGTAAGGTTGAATGTATTTGCCAGATGGTTTGCAAATAGTTGGAATTTTTCGGCGTCGCTTTTCGCCTTTTTGCTATTCACATTGTTCTGTGGATTTGCATATTTAATGTCTCTATTGCTTTGTCGATTTCTTCTTGGTTTTTGAGGTCGATGTTTTGTTCCATGTGCTGACTAGGGATGGTCGGTATTTAACGTAACCGCTAAAATAACAGTGTGCCAAACGTGTAAACTTGAACCGTAGTTACTGCTAGCCGATTTAACCGTTTTCTTTTGGAACCGTGTCATAAAACCGAAACAGCGGTGCGCACTTTGCAGTACAGAACCGATGCGAAACCGTCGAGCAATCTATCCAGCTGCAGCCGTTTGCCGATTTACACCGTTGTTTTTGGAACCGTCTTATAAAATAGAAACCGTTGTGCGTACTTCGCATCAGCTGTAGCCGTTTGCTGATTTACAGATTGTTTTTAGGACCGTCTCATAAAACTGTAACAGCGGTACGCACCAGCACAGAACCGATGCGACAACGTCGAGCGATCTATCCAGCTGTAGCCGTTTGCCGACATAAACCGTTCTTTTTGAAACCGTCTCATGAAACAGAAACCGTTTTGCGCACTTCGCAACAGCTGCAGCCGTTTGCCGATTTAAAGGTTGTTTTTGGAACCGTCTCATAAACCTGAAAAAGTGGCTCGCGTCAGCACAGAACCAATGCGACATAGTCGAGCGCTCTATGCAGTTGCAGCAGTTTCAGAAACCATTCGTCAACGGAAAATATGTTGTGTGTAATTGCGCCTTGCCTTGATGATTGTGGATCACTTTTCGTTTATAAGAGCTACTGTTCAATTCGCCACGAAGCAGCGAAAATTTGTTTAATTGCTGCGATGATATAAATCGCCTAAATATAAGTATTTAGTTTTCTGATATTCTGTAATAAATCTTTAAAAAATAAATTTCTCTCAAAAAACTTAGCTCGGGAGTTATATGACCATTACCAGCAAACTAAGCAGAATTTGCAATTGCATATGAGCTATGAGCAAACTAAGAGTCTAATACATAAATTCCATCACAGTTGAAATGTAAAATAACAAGCGTTTTAAGCAGAATGTGCACCTGCACTTAAGAAAGCTGGCCATTTTAAAATATAAATTCAACAACAAATGGGATTTTTAAACATTTTCATATATAAGCCGTCTATTTTATTTAATCACTCTAGTTTTATTATTATCAGTTTTTTGTTCTTTAAGTAGTTACCTCGGACCTATGTTTTGTATTTGATTTTATAATATTTAATTTTAAGTTTACCAATATTAAGAACTATGTTTTTAATAAAGGAAATCATTATATATCATCACTATTTCTACTATCATCATCATTGTGCATTTTTAATGAAGAATTTAAAATGTAACATGTTCCTTTTGGAACCGCATTTTGAAACCTATTACAATGCTGGAACTAGAACCCGTTACAGAAAAATAACCGTTTATCACACTTCTAGTGCTGACTAATTGATATCCAGTTGGTTTTATGGTTGTAGAGCCGAGGTTGGAACTTCAAAATATTTTTACCTAACAAACAGTTCTACGACAGAGTGATCGGAAAATAGTTTGCAATTGGTTTGAGCGTGGTAGTAGTTTGTGTTTATCCTTATCGTTCGAAGAAATCTAGTAGGTCTGGTATTTTTGTGGGACACTAGGCCAGTATGTAGGCTGCCCTGTGGATATTGGGTTGAAGTTTTTGTTCGTAATATAATTATGGAGTGCTTTTCCTCTGGATGAATCTGGATCTTCATGAAGTATGTTTAGCGTTGTAGTGGCCTCTGGCAATGAATTTCCGGTCCTAGTGTTTTGGAGAACTTGCCCAGAATATCGTAGTTGAGGATGTTTCTTGGAGGGTAGTAAATTGCTGATATAGTGATTCATAAACAACCATTGTTGTTTCATCGCCATCACAACATGTCACATCACAGCGGTCGCTTGTGGATAATCATGTTGAAACTTGTCAGATTCGTAATGCTTAATGGTATTTTTTATTGTTCATACTGTTCCTCCATGGGAAGTTCCGTCTGGATGTTTTCTATCGTATGTGATGTAGTATCCGGACACTTTGAAGTACGATTTGTTTGTAAAGTGTGATTCGGACACAAGAAGAATATCAATATTGTTGGTCTTTAGAAAGACTTCCACTTCTTTTTGATGTTGGCATTCCAGAGTGCGTGTAGGGTGTTACGGCCCGTTGGAGATTTTTGTTAATAGCGTGGTTAGTAGATTGAGCAAGGTGGATAGTTGTTCAGCGTGTTTGATTAGTGTGTTTTCGAGTCTGTTGAATGCCTGGGCGATGTCGTCTGCATTTGTAGTATTGTTGGCTGGAGGAGTTCCCTTTATCACTAGTGCATAGTTTCGAGGGTCGTTTCCGGTTGCTAAAAGTCTTCTATTAATGGGGTTCTGGGATGGTAGTTGATGATCGTTGGGTTCTGGGTTGATGGTTCTAGTTTCATTAATGTCAAATCTTGGATTTCCGTTTTTTGTTGTGTAATTTTTGGGTTTCTGTATCTCTTTATAGACTGTACATCTTTTGTAGTTTGCTGAGTGTTGTCCGCTACAAAGGACGCATGTTGCTGGTGTCCCTCTGCTTTTCTTGCAAGTGGTTGTGTCATGTTCTAAGCATTTTACACATCGGTGTGGTCTGTTACAGAACCCTTTTGTGTGCCCATATCTTTGACATCTTGTGCATTGAACGGATTGGACGTATATGAAGCAAAGAAAGCATGTCGGAACAAAAATTATTAAATATTTGAATTGCCTATACAAACAGTATTATACTATTTACTTAATAATATTAGTTTTCATTATATCAGTAAGGTATTCGCAATGCATTAGATTAAATAAGACTGTCCCGCCAAGGTACTTTTCCAGTTGTATTTACATATTCTCTAAACTATTCTCTAATGCGTAATGCTACACGTCTCGGTTTATTCCCATACTGTTTGTTTAAACCGTATATGTTCCTATCGACTGGTTGCTTACCTCCTCTTGATTGTTTGAGGTGTATTGAGAGTTATTTTCTTTTAGCAAAAAATTATGCAACGCACAGCTTGCTTGAAGAATTAAAGTGGTCTTTTCAGGACTTAGAGGAATTGTAGTCAGGAAAATTAGAAACCGACTAGCTAAAATTACAAATGCATTTTTAAGTACCCTCCCTGCCCTGCTTAGTTTATAATTGAAAACTCGCTGTGCTTTGGACATTCCTTTGAATGAATGTGGCTTTAAAATCTTCTCTGATAATGTAAAAGCAGTGTCGGCAAAAGTTACGAACGGTACATGCATTGTTCTCCCAGGAAGTGCATGATCTTCAGGCATAGTAAGGCAATTTCGAGCTAGGGCTTTGGACAAATCACTCTCCCAAAAAACTCCACCATCAGACAATGCAATAGCAAGCAAAACAATGCTGTGTCGTTGCTTGTAATTAAAGAACGGAGACCCAGTCAACAGGTGCTTTTATAACGATGTGTTTTTCGAACGTCGGCATGTTCCATTTTTCTTGAAAACTTCTTACAATTTCCAACCATTCTGCCGATATATCAGGGACCTACAAAACATTGATTGATGAGTAACAAAGTAAGTAAAGCTACTAACATCAAATAAGTAACTATCTAATTTGCAATGGAACTGCATATGTAATATTATATTTACCTTCAAATAATTGTCTTTTAATTCTTCATAAATTGCCTTTAGGACAACAGGGATAAATAAAGAAATCGTACTCTCATGGATGCGAAAATTATACATGAGATTTCTAAAGCTTTCTCCAGTTGCCAAGTATCTCAAAGTAATTATTAATTTATCCAGAGCACTGGTGCATTTTCTTGTTATGCTTTGCTTAGTCACATGAGGAGAATTCCTTATCAAAAGTTTTTTAAAACTCATCCATCCAGTAAATGTATGTGCCCTTTATGCTTATTTATCCATGGTTTAACCCACCATTGCCTTTGTCTTGCACAGGATTTTTTAGGCTGTAGGGCACTGGCAATTAATAAGATTGCAGTAGCAAGAACTATTTTTTTTCCTCAGATTTTCTCACTAGCATATTTCGAAAGTTCATTTTTCATGTTCGTTATATTCGGACTCAAATGTATATATTCAGCTACAGTCAAAAGGGCTACTCTATGAGACACACTCACCTTGTTTTTGGACAAACAGAACGGGTACAAACACTGTCGATCAATAAGCAATTTTACGTAAGTAATAGGGAGTTTTTAGGCCCCTTAATTGCAACACATTTTACGTTATCCGTTATTTTAAGCATGCTCATTAGTAAAGAAATAACCATTTACGTTATTAGAGGATAACGTGTTCCTCTATTTACGTACGAGTAGCGGTAACGTTAATAAGCATCACGTTAAAAAGCAGATCGACGGTGTTGACATATTTGACTTATTTTTAATTTTATTTATAAAATAAGCGACTGTAATAGAATAAGAAATGTATTGTAAATTTGAATAAGACTTCCATTGATTAATTTACGCCATTATTGCGTAATTACGGATTTTATGTGAAAATTGTTTGGGCGAATTTGAACTTTGGCACACTACTAACATCGTACGAACAGGTTCTAACTTCTAACCCATGAGCTAACTATTTGATTTTGAATTTTTATTTAATATATTTGGAATATGTTCCTTCTGAAACCTAAAATTGATAAGGCAATCTCTGGGGTCAATATTTTCTAAATTAAAAATAGCTCTTCGGTTTGCAACAACAGGCGGGTCAAAGATGTCGTGTAAAATTAAGCCTCTTATTAAATCCACATCTCCCTGGTCATTTCGGTGTAGAAAGGCAGCTTCAATGTTTTCTTCAATCTTAGCCACTGATTTTATTTTGAAATAATTTGTACCACCGACCCCCGATTTAGGTAATTTGAACGAAAAAGGAAAACATTGTTATGAATTTTACTTCCAACTATATTTATTTTATCTCGGGCGTGAGTTAGAGCAAGAGCTAGTATTTTGCGGCTAGTGAACAATTTTTGGAACGCTCAATGGACAATACAAAATTATGCACACTCAAATTCAACTGCACAACTAATGTATTTGAGCAATTTAACAATTTTACTGAGAGTAATAAAGGTAAAAAAAAATATATAAATTTACTTAGAGTGTATCACTCGGATATTTTTGGTAGCACCCTTAATCTATGGATACCTTAACCTGAATCAAGACTGGATGGAGAAGGGGAAGAACACTGAGGGGGACCCGCTGGAGTGATCACTTCAGTCAGTGGCCTCGCATGTCTTCCAATGGGGATCGGTCGTGATCATAAAAAAAATCCACAGTAAAGGGGTACCAAAATAAATAAGGAAATCACTCAGGTCCGACTGTGAATCGCAATTAAAGTAAAAAGAAACAAAATGAACTGAATGCAGTC